ATGGCAAGATGGAAAGATTTCCAGACGATCCTGCCTTTGTGGCTGAACAGCTACATGAACATCAGGTTGAAGAGGAGGGCCCAACAGCTGCACTTGACAGGGACTGCATGGCACTGGGTGGAACATATGAAGCAGGAGGCGAGCAGAAGCAAGGCGCAGAGACAGCTATGACACAGTCTTCGAAAGGTGTTTCCCAAGAAACGGATTCGACAGTGAAGGACTCTAGTAGCTCAAGTTTAAGTCAAGGGGCAGACACAGCAAGGCATCAACGATGCGAAACAAGTGGAGACACTCCAGGCACTCCTTCCTTTCTGGAGCTGAAGGCAAGCCAAAGTGAGAGGCCACCACCCAGATGTGCAAGCAGTGTGCCACAAGTTCAGGCGAATTCTATTGCTACACAGCCCAGAAGAGTGCCTGAGGAGAGCACACACCGGCTTTCTGAGAATCAACGTAGGGCGACTGCGACAGCAAACAGTCCAAACACTGCCAGGCAGCCTGCCAAACCGACTCATGTTCCCTTCTCTGAGGTGCCCACCAAAGGATCAATTCCATTGAAGGAGGGCGAAACCGGAAAGGGCCCAGACGGCATGGAAATGCGCCGGTGGCTAACTTCGGAAAGTGGACAAATTGACTTGGAAAGAAGAGGGGCAGGAAGGAGTAGCACGAAGACCAAGGCGAATCCAAGTAAAGCTTTTGAAGCCTTTTTTGGACAGTCAGAACATTTTAGATCCTTTCATTTTGCTGAAGGTTGATGTCTCCGTTCAAACAGAGTCCGTCACACAGTGTGCAAAGTGTGTCCAGAAATGCTCACTCTCTGGATCTGAGGACTTTGACTGGGCAGGCTGTCCTTTACACGTGTTTGCAATGTGATAACTGAGACCTGTCATGCATCGTTTTTGTCTCCCTTGCTCTTTGCCATGCAGCTAGCTACGTCTTCCTTTTTGTATTTCAGAGCCATTCTTCCTGCGTGTAGGGACTGGGAAGCCATGCCCTTAGCCTTGGCACATGTTTTGCGTCGTAGGCTTCTGAAAAGCACATCAATCAAAGAATGAGAGAGACAAAGATAGAGCTTGTTGAATAGCCGGTTTGTCACCACAGGTTACACGGAGGCACGGCTTCCGTCGCCAGGCTCTAAGTTGGTGATCTTCCGAACAGGCTGTTTATTATGTTCTTCTGCTTAGGTGTAGCTTGCACAGAGCACCTTGGCTTGATTGCAGAAAAGGAGGGAAAAGTTAGAAGCACATTCTCCTCCAGCGTGCAGAAGCTCGCAGAACCTTGTATATAGCTTCTCATAAGGAGACCAGAGATGTATCGCAGACCGCAATGAAGCTAGCGCTTGAGACTCTTCAGCAAGAGAAGGACCTAAGCTAAGCTGCATCAAGAATGGTCATGAAGCAGGCAGCCGATGTGCCATTGGGTGAATTGGGTGCCCTTTGGCAAGGTTCTGCGATGTTGTCCGTTGCCAGCATGCTCACGTTTGGATGAGACCAATGCCAATGCATATATAATATGAATTTATAATATTATGTTACTACCTATATTAACAATAACAATAATAATGTATTTTGGCTATGTGCACTTCTACTATATTTTATATTGCGCATGTTTTATGGACGCCAGATCCAAATTTGTGATCACATCGTCCCAGACAGAAAGGAATCAAGATGGTAAAACAACAACTGAGCAACCTACTCAAAAACGACTCAAGATAGAAGCTCACGTTTGAGAGCAACTGAAACGGTATACTCAGGACACAAATTAGACTCAAGGAAAAACACACTGAAGAAATGAGGAAAACTCAAGGAACAACTCAAGAGAAAGTCAAAGAACAAGTAAAAACCGGCCAGTCTTTGCGCACAATGGCGTAGAACTCTTGAATGCACGCCTGAAAAAAGGAAACACCTTGCTCCTTGAGTATTTGTTGAAGTTTTTTGAGCCCAATTTGCGTCCGAGTTGAACTGTTTTTTAGTTAGTTTTGAGTTTGCTGTTGAGTTTACCTTGGATTCGAGTTTGTTGTTTTTGAGTTGAGAACTGTTTATTTGTGCATTACTTTTATTTTGTTGATGATTTCAGCCCTGTTTGGCCACTGCAATGTCACAAATCTATATAAATATTGGCTCTACTTGGTTATAGTACTAGTGTGATCTAGTGTGTTGAATTTTGACGCAAGTTGAAACCATGCAGCGTTCAATGCAGGCACGTGCACCTTATGTTGCCGTGCTCAGCAGTGCTCCGCTGTCCTCCTCGGTGCTCTCCTTATACTTTACTGTAACTGTAACCTTTTTGGGGTGAGCGGACCAGCAAGCACATATTCTATGGTGCCATTGCAGGTTGTAGGGAGCACACAAGTGTGTCAGACCACAAGGTTGGACACAATTGGCAGGAACAAGGACGCTACTAGTAACAAAGGGCATCGCTACTAGGAGCAAGGACTCTACTAGGGGCTCCTGGCCTTACTACTAGGAACAAGAAGCTACTAGGAGCAAGGGCATCGCTACTAGTAACAAAGGGCCTTTTTCACTTGCATACGCACCAAGTTACATATTGGTGCGCACATGCATGCGTGTGTGTGTGTGTGTGAGTGTGTGTGTGTGCACCTTTGGTTGGGCTATGTTGGGCTTCTTTTCAGAGGACTTCAGGAAGTACAAGCTGGTAGGGCCAACTTGCCTGGCAAAAAAACATTGCAGTAGAGGTGGGATCAGGGTTACCAACAAAGAGTGAAACACCTGGCCTCACTCTCTTTAGTGTCTTCTTCCCGGGCTTGCACAGGCATGTTTTGCACTCAAAAACGGTGTCTTACTAAAGGCTCAGCACCCTCGGGCGATGTACAAGGCAAGCCCTTGCGGCCCAGAGATCGTCATTCTGTGACACACACACGCACACACTCTCTCTCTATTTGTAGCTTTACAGGTTTTGCAATCTATTGCAACTTGACGAATGACCGACAACTACTGTATATGATATATGCGGTTCGCATCGACATCTCACTGTCACAAAAGAAAACATGGCTGCTCTCCAGGAAGATTTGCAACAAAAGCTCAGGGCGAGCCAAAAGGAGGTTCTCAGGCAATTCGTGATGAATCTCTGAGAGCTGCGTGGAGATGCTAAATCTTTGTAGCCAACCTATGTGCAGGTTGGAACTTCGAGACGAGGACGAAATCAAAGCAATGGAAGCTGGTACCTCAGCGTTGCTTGCGTCAGTGGCCAAGCTGCGAAGCCATGCGAAGCTACATTTGTTTGAGGCCAATCAAAACGTTCTGCTTAGACGCGAGAATGATGAGTTGAGGAAGATAGCATTGGCGGCGCCTCGCTTTTCAGAAGTTTGTTGAATCTGACTTGTATTACATGAACATATTTGTAGATTCGCTGGAGGCTCTGCGGCAGAATCCACAGGCACATCAGTGATCAGTATGTTGTAGGCACTTTTACTTTTCAATCACATCTTCATGGAGTATGGAGGAGGGGATTTTCATGGTGATGCGAGTGACTCGCTTGTACATGGAGGCCCAACGCAAGAGAACGAGTAGCAACAAGATGCAGAGGCACACACGTTTATAGTGCAAAAGACGAAGCACTTACCGTTACCGCCTTGACCCTTGACCACCTTGACCTGTTGGATCGAGTCATAGGACAAGTCTTGGCCTTTCCGAGGCCCAGGCGCGTTGTACACCGTTGGGTTTTGGAACCTGATGTATTGTTCTGCTAAGGAAAGCAAGTGGCTCCAACCTCCTGTGAAATCCAAGGCCAAACTGGATCAGGCAGAGTCGAAGGGCAGCACTGTACAGCTTTGTTTATTTGTTTTTGCATTGTGGACTGTGTAGAACCACTGTCATGCAGACCTCCAAACAACAGCTCAGACGCGTGCATAAAAAGAATACACACACACACACCCTCTGTATCAACATAGCGACTTCAGTGGAGCTGGGCCTTGAGAGTGTTGCCTTTAGTCGAAGGGTTCGCTTTGTCAAAAGCTTTTTGGTTGTTCCTACCCGATGCGCAGGTGGCCATGGATGATCTCGAAATGGAGCAACTGCCAGCAGATTCACTGCAATCCACGGCCTGCTTTTTTCAACAGAACTTTCAATTTCATTTCCGCCATAAAATGATACATGAAGCAAATGATGGGAAGGCGGAGTTGCGTTATGTGCCTGAGGGTGGACAATAGTTGTGGCCAGGTTCAAAGCAGCCGTGTGTGCACCTGCTGGTCATGCCGGAGGCATGTTGTCCGAAGCACGTGTGACCGAGACATAGATGTTGAACTAAGTTGAAATGCATCAGTGGCTGGATTTAATTCAATCTTAGGTCTTGACAGAGAATCGGCATCAAGTTTTGTTTGAGGCTCCCACGGCCTCAGGCGAATACGCAGCCAAAGCACCCACCTGAGGACATCCCCACTTTGAGGGCAAGAATCGGCAAGAATCAATGCACTGCAAGCGAACTGGTCCTCGTTCTGATGGCATTGCACTGCCTTGCACACATTCACTATGACGCATTCAACATGCGTGACCAATGGTTGCTTTATGAAGAACGGGCTCGTTGCCATCCATGCCCACTATATGTTGAGGTGATAGCTGCATCGCAACCTTTGAGGAGCTCTGATTGTGTTACACGATGTTGCACGTCTTCTTTTTTGCGTGACATGTTGACACACCTTTAGGCACATCGTGGACAAATCTACAAGAGAAAAATTGCCGAGGCAGCAGACAACTCAGTGTCCGTAGATTTGGAAAAAAAGGAGTCAGGAAACCTACACCAGAGTCAGGAAACCGTGAGTCAGAAAACCCCAATGTCCGAGTCAAGAAACCTTTTTGTCAGAGCCCGGAAACCTGGAATCCAGTTAAAAGTAAAACAATAGTAAGAGCAAGGTGTAAAGAATAAAGGCCGGAGAAGGAAAAACATGAGATAACGGATGCATGCATATATATCAATATATATATATATAAGAAGAACGCAGCTCCCGGCCTCGACGGCTGGAGGACACAAGAACTGCAGTCCCTCCCTGTCTCTGCCTTTCGACCTGTAGCTAAGTTCTTTAACTGGGCTGAGGCGACGTTTGGGGATGATCTCCCAAAAATGTTGACTTGCACCAAACAGATAATACTTCATAAGCCGGGTCCTGCCGATGCAATGAATAAGCGCCTCATTACAATCCTGCCCGCGCTTCTGTTGTCCTACACCGGTGCTCGCTACATGCAGCTGCAAGCCTGGCAAGAACGCACCATGCCCAAAGAGATCGTGGGAGGCATTAAGGGGCGGACTATGCCACAGCTCCATACTGCCCTGCGACTTGACATTGATGAGGCCAGAGCTCTTCGTCAGGACATCATAGGAGTCAAGCTTGACAAGGCCAAGTGTTTCGATAGGATCATCCCATCCGTCACATGTGCACTGTTTTTGGCATTTGGCCTCCCCAAGGGCTTTGTGAACTTCTTTGCCAAAATCTACAAGGGCCTTCACAGACATATGTTTTATGAGGGCTGGGTCAACCCTCAGGCCACTACTGCTGCCAATGGAGTAGCCCAGGGCTGTTCTCTATCGCTCATTGCTGTGAATCTGCACGCCAAGGTCTGGGTGCTCCTGATTCAACACCTGCCTGGTCTTGTCATCAGAGCATACATCGACGACGCATATTTATGGTGCAGAGTCCAGCACCTTGCAGATCTCCAGCAGGCCATTCAGATCACAAAGCTTTGGGACCAATTAAATGGCCAAAAACTAAATGACTCCAAGTCCGTAGTATGGGGTACCTCCAGTCAGTCACGGAAGCAAATTCAACTGGCCTTCCCAGGCATGAGTCTTGCCCTTTCTTTCGATGCTTTGGGCGCCCGCATCTACACCTCTAATAAAGATGATTTTGGGTTCTCCCCCAATACCCTGAATAAAGTGTGCACCACCATTGACTGCATTGGAGCCCTGCCACTTCCTATGCGCGTTCGTTCCTTTTTGATTGGCGCCAAAGCCATTCCGATGATTACCTATGGGGCTCACATCTCCAAGATCCCTAAGCTAAGTATTCAGCGGATTCAAAGCTCAGTCGTTCGTGCTTTATGGAGAGGTAGACCGATGGCTCGATCTAAATGGTTGGTGCAGGTTTTTCATGGGACTCCTCACCGCACGGACCCAACCATCGCCCAAGCTTATAACTGTATCATGGAAATCAGCAGGTTCATCCATCAAAACCCACATGACTTTGCTCGCCTGCAGAATCTATGGGCTTTTCGGGATGACTTGAAATTCTCACTTGTTCAGAACCTTGCCATGGCTTGTGAAGAGCTGGGCATTCACCTTGATTCAAGTTTGAAGCTGCGATTCCATTCCTCTTCACCAGTGCCACTCAATCAGCTTAGTTCAATTGACCTTGCGGTTGGTTTGCGACATATTGCACGGCAAGTGGCATACCAGAATGCAAACATTACCACTAGAAAGGACTTTTCCACCCCGAAGGGACTTCTTGACTACCATACCTCCACAAAATTTCTGAGAAAACCCACTTTTCAGACACCAGGGCCGCCATCGGCCCAAGTTCGTGCGGAATCCGCAATTGTCGGGTGCACCCTGACTAAAGATAGGCTTTTCGCTGCAGGTTGGGCTTCCACCAACTTGTGCAGGTTTTGCGGTAGCACCAAGGAATCCCTGGCCCATTTGGTTTATGACTGTAATTAAGGCTTACCATAACGCTGCATCAAAGCCATGCCTGCATGAACTAGGGAGCAACTTTGATTTACTGGGGCATGTCGAACATCCCTTTCGTCTTACACTGTTTCGCCTCCAGAATGCAGTCGCCGATGTCGCAAGCGCAACCGTGTTCGAGCCAGGACCAGAGCCAGATGAGGCGTGGACCGATGGATCTGTGCAATGGCAAGAGTGCTTTTGGCTGACCACAGCTGCCTTCGCAATCATCAACAAACAAGGGCAACTCATACACAGTGGAAGAGTCATGAGGTGGCGCTTCCTGGAGATGCGTTTCGACTTTAAAAAAAGCGGTAAGTGGAAATGCGCGTTTATAGTGTATACACTGCAAATGCTCCATTTCGACTACAAATGCGCCAAGGACAAGACTATACGTACATGCAAAGGTAGCGACGACAGTTTTTCGTTGGTCGGTAGGTTTGTTGCGTGTGTGCACGCGGGGGGCGCAGATGCGCGGTTACAAAGCAGTTGCTTTGGGATTTCGTGGGCCGGTCGCTTTGACTCGCACGATGGGGTTTGCGCATGCATGGCTTAAGTAATTCATGGTTCTTGCTTGCTCATGAACCGAGGAACCATGGTTAGCCTTGCTCACTCATGAGCCATGCGCATCAATGACATTTCCCGCGCTTGGTTGCTCACGCATGCAATCGCCATGGTGATGCTCGCAGCCGTTTCACAGATTCGGTTGCGAACGGGCGCCCGTGAAAATGCGTGCTTTTCTACTGCAAAAACCCTCATTTGTACAGCAAATGCCCGTTAAAATCGTGAAAATATGTTTTTGTATTTCTCATAGGTTTTTGATTGTTTTTGAGCTGCGTTCAATTGGTGGAGAAATCTACAGCTTCCGACACTGGTCTCTTGCTGCCTAACTCATTCCCTTTCCACCATTCGGCGGTGGCTGTCGGGCTTCAATCAGAAACTTGATGATGTATTGGATGTGTGTTCGCTTCAAAGAGAAATGCATCTGCAAGAGTTTGCGCGCGTGTCCCGTGTTGTTTTCATTCAGAGGCGCCCCCGCGGGAAGCAATCAGGCTTTCTTGTTTGCAACATCTTGTTGGCCTAAAAAAACGCTAGAGGAGTCAGGGGCCCACAATTCTTTCAGAAGTTAGATTTGATGGGGAGCGGGGGAGGATTTTGCAGTGCAAATGCGCGTTTGCAATGCGAATGCTCAAATCGCAACTTTTAAAAGTGTAAATGCATCTCCAGGTTATCCAGCTTTGTCGCTGAGCTATGGGCAGTTTGGCATGCGTTTGCGTTGTCCAACAATGCATTGATCATTTATTGTGACAATCAGGCAGTTGTGCGCACATTTCAACGGTTGGTTCAGTCACGTTGTATATCCACATCCTGGCGGTGCAGTGATTGGTGGACGGCCATCCTTGAGCTTTACGAGGAAAGGTCTCTGCAGCATCCGGTTCCTCTGCAACTGCAGTGGATACCAGCGCACGTTCTGGAGGACACCCCAAATCACTTGCTAACAACAGCTGCGGCTTTACAGGCGGGTACAACTGTTGAACATATCATACATAACCGGGCCGCTGACCTGGAAGCGAAAAAGTGCGCACACCAGATTGCTCCAGTCGTTCCGAACATGTTTAGGAGGATGTATGCAGCCGCTACACTTCATCAAGAATGGCTTGTCAAACTTCGTTGTCAGCTTGATACGCATTGTGACATGGAGGCCAAAAATTCCCCGCGATCTCGATCCACCCCTTCGGTGGCGGTATAAGCAGGCTGATTGGGTTAGTGTTTGCAATTTCGCTGGTGGGCTTCGGTGGAAGTGTGAAGATGGTGCCTCTTTCGCCTTCTGCGAGTTGGGAATCCTCTTTCATCAGAGGGGATTCCGCATTGTCGGTGATTACGACACCATCACCATCCATGCCGTAGTTTGTGTCATTCGGCAGGCGTTTCAATACCTTGCCAAAAATGACAATGTACAGCCATTTCCAGGGTACTTTGATCCTCGTCATGTTAATGTGCGGGGAAAGTTTTGTGTCAAAGTGCCATCGTCAATGCAGCGCCGCTGCTTACTGATGCTGAACTTTTGGCAGTGGCAGCGACTTTGAATGCTGGACCAGGACGGACCATTGAGTCCTGGCGAGTCCCTTTTTTGTAAAGTCTGCGGAGTACTTCCTGCGCAGTGGGTTTTGTATGTTTGGCCCAGAGTGGCCAGCATACCGCCGACGCTTCTCACCGGATCGTGTGGCGCGAGAGGTATATATAATAGGTTTATGAGTGTTTTGTTTGACTTTTTGTCGGGATTCTTGAAGTGCGGAACACTGGTTTGAGAAGGTTGAGTCATTGAGAGGATGTTTCCGGCCTAGATCAAGGTGATACAGTGATAAGCGGTTCACTTTTTTCCCCAAACAGTGTGGACACACTGGGGGTTCTTACGGTAGGTGTAAAGCAGCTGTGCTTAGATAGGTGTGCCGCGCGGGCGTGTGCGGCTAATTCGCTGCTATTTACAGTACATTCATGCCTCTCGACATCGTCAATGTGCATTTCGACAGCGCAGGCTCGCTGAATCTGGGTGTCCGCGGTGGGTGCTTCTAACGACTGCGCTCTCGTTGTGGCGCCGTGCGCATCCGTGCGCATTTTCGCAGATGGTGACTGGAAACATCGCGTTTTGGTGCTTCAAAGTCGCCTTTTCGTGACAGGTGCAATGGATCGGAGCTGTTTTACTTCGAAGTGCAGTTTTCGTGGCAGGCGCAGCACTTTGGGCATGGTGGTGACCGTCGGGGAACTCACTTTTGGACATGTGGCTCGTTTGCAGATTTTAGTGGCAGCGCAGTGAACCTCGAAGTGCCACACTCTCACTCTACTCACACCCACTCACTCTCCCTCCCTCCCTCCCTCCCTCACTCATTCACTCACTCACTCACTTTCGCTCTCCTCCCTCTCCCTCTCACTCTCACTCTCACTCTCACTCACACTCACACTCACTCACCACCACCGCCGCCGTCACCACGATCCCCACCTTCATCACCTCTCTGGACCTGAATGCGTCTAGATCTCTAGACTTTCTGCTTACAGACCTCACACACACTGTTTGGGGTCTCTTGCCGGGATAATTCTGGCACAAATCCCATAGGCCTCAACTTCTTTCGGACTTCTTTGGGGTTTAGGGTTTCATTGTTTTAGGGTTTCTTTGCGCTTGCTTAGGGTTTCCTTCTTTGGGTACTCTTCGCTGTTTGCTGGGGACCCTTTCTGGGCACTCTGTCTCCTGACTCATTAGCGGTGTCCTCCGAAAAGGGTACTCTTTGCTTTATAGAAGTTCCTTTTGGGGCAGCCTGACTCGGTACCCGTCCTCTCTGACTCAACTTCAAACGCTCAATTCCGCTTCTTCTAAGTTTCTTGCTTCGTATGCCCTTTTGCTCCGAATGAATCATCACGAAAGCCTGGAGTTGTTCTTGCTTTAGCAAGTGAGGGAGTGGAATCCTGGAGAGCGCCGCGTCGCGTGAAAACTTCATATGTAGGGCGTTCAACTCCTCCCTGGGACTTGTATTTCCCATCTAAGTGTCCTGAATCGTTCCCCGTCGCATTTTCCTGACTCACTCCCCTTCTGCTCCGACTGACTCATATTTTCAAAGTTTTTCATTTTCCACTCCATCGCCTACTGCTTGTTTCCAGCATTACGCTTCCTGACTTTTTCTCCTTGAGGTTTCCTGACTCACACACCTTCTCCTTTGACTGACTCAAACTTTCCGCACGTCCTCATTTCCCCTTAAACATTCCCCTCTCCTTTGCCCGACTCATACTTTCAACTTGTCAATCTTTCCACACCCCCCTGCCCCTTGATTCCAGTCTGACTCGGTTCCCATCAAAATTTCCTGACCCATTCAAAGGTTTCAAGCTTTCTAAGTTTCCACCCCTCGGGTTACTTCGGCCCAAAAGGTTTCCTTCTGAGTTTTGTGACTCGCAGTGGAGAAGCGCACATCCAATTTAGATATTTTCCAACACTTTGGACTCGGTTTCCTGACTCGTACGTGGTTTCCTGATTCGGTTTCCTGACCTCATCCGTGCAGATTCCAGCTCTTGTCATGTTGCAGGAAGCATTATTGACAGTCCAGTCTCATTGACTGAGGGGAGAGGAGAAGCTGGCCCACAGGTGCGCCGTGGAGTCTTGGAGGATGGGGAGCATGCATATTTGTACAAGGTAACCTCTGGCAGAGCGGGCGGACATTTTAAAAAGAAGCAGCAGCCCAGCCATGGCATTGTACTCTGCAGTTGCCGACGGCTACAGTGCCTCAAAATCACACGCAGGAAAGTGTTTGTTTTGTAAATATACTTGCGTATATGCTTTGGCGTTCTATTTGGCCTATCTATTTGTTATAGATTCTGGCTTTCTACATGACACAAATTGTTGCATTCTATCTGGCGTGTTCTGGCGTTCTATCTGGCAAGATTTCTGACACTATATCTGGTATACATTCTGGCATTCTTTCTATCTGGCTAGCGCTCGTGGTTGAGGTCCGGCGGTGCCCGCCGCTATCTAGCGGTTGTGGTTGACCGGGCGGCGGAGAAGCGGGCTACGTAAGATCAGTCCGTGATCTTTTTCACGAGAGGGGTCGGATCGAGGAGTAGCGCCACTCCTACTTCGGTCAGCTCGACAATGGAAGGACCAAGCCCAGTGCCCACTTCGAGTCTATCTCATCTGCGCCGTCGTCGCGGAACTCCATCAGCGGTTCTGCAAGTTCAAAGCGCAACTCGGCAATCTGAAGATCCGCATCCATGCCATTCAGACGAAGCTCATCACATGGAGACAACGCCTTCCCGTTTCATCGACTGAACGGCAACCTACGACAGGTGGAGATCGACGCCATGGAACAGACGATTTTGCCATCCAGCAGCAGATATTCTAGGAAAAGGAGAACTGTGGGAGGCTTCACGCCCTTTTTGAAGGGGATGATGCAATCCTCTGTGTGGATGCGCGTGGCATCCCGGCAGCGTTCTCGCATGGCCCAGGAGTTGCAGTGCCTGGCACAGCATCCAGCCAAGAGGACTGGCTGAATCATCTCCGACTTGAGTGGGTGACACTGCTGCAGGAACTCACTTTGATGACCAACGCCAGCAGCTCGTGTTATGTGAACGCCAGCTTTGCAACGGGCAACTTTTTGTTTGGGAGATTTGGGGGAATCACTTCGACCTCTTCGGGGCTTCTTTTCTGACCATCCACAAAGACATTCCTGTTTCCTTGCTTGAAGAGATTGTGCCGCGCCCATTGTTGAGGGAAGCCAATGAATCGTCTCGGCCCACAAGACATGTGTGAGTTCACCACATATGGCGTGGGAGCGACGCGTCACCTCTTCTCAGGGAATGGAAGGCTATGACTCCGGTGCTGCGCGCCAACCTATAGCGTTGGTACATGTGCGTGAACTGGACCAAAACAAGATGCACCTGATCGAAAATGAGTTGATTCGACCTTCGCACTTCGGAGTAGCAGCAGCAACCAAAAAACTGTTTGATACCCTGGGGCACCAACAGCCTTAATTTAAATGTCGGTTGTCCTAACCACCATTTCGCGCAAGACTTGGGTGCCTACTTCCAATTCACGCATGTCAGTATCCGATTTATGCAAACCCCACATGGCAGCTTTCTGGCGGCCATTTTCTCTTTCTGAATCTTGCCAGCTCTATCTCGAGGCTGCAGCATTCAGCCTCATGGGAAAATGACACACCAGTTGAGTCCTAGATGATGTATTTGCACGGTCATTACATCAGTTGTAATGTTTCTTCCAAGAAACGATCCAATGCGGGATTTCATGGCCAACAGCCTGCCAGGTCTCTGGAAGTAGTGCACAAGCACAAAATATATAGAACACGCCATGACCAGTTGGTAATAAACAAAAAGAATTGCCTCAGCTTACTGCACTTGATGATCCAGTGGTGCTTCTTTTTCGGATGTGCCATCTTACTGATTCCTTGGGCCAGAATACCACAAGATTATATACACTCGCTGCACCTAGAAGCAACTTAGTGACCAATGTCATGGGGTGGTGCTGTCAAGCGGCCCTTGCACCAACGCATGAAATCTTCGTCTACGAAGGTATGAAAGTACCGAGGGTTCCATCCTGGGAGAATGGGATCAGAAATCCCCATAATATGATGACACAGCACAGGTCACCAGCACAACGAGATGCCAAGACACGTGCGTGCCGCACCATATGACACAGATGTCCATCCCCTTGGCTCAGCAAACCTATTTTAGCTGGTAACCCCCTTGATCCAATCACTGGGTCTATTGGAATATATCGGGAGGAAGTCTCAGAACAATCGATCCAGTCGATTCAGCCTAATGTAATCCAGGGCACATGGTATTTCGGGCGCATAAGCCATTGTTGCTTCTGAAGCCTGAGCACTTAGAGTCTCAGTCATGTAGTAGGCATGCACAGCTCCTCCCATGTGACACCAAACCCGCCTGAGATGGATGATGGTCAGGCTCTTGAAACTGTCCAAAAACCTAAAGCCAGCATCTGCTAGCTCATTGGCCACTTCAGGGCTCCTGGGCATGCAAGTGCCTACAGCCCCACACTTCAAAATCACACTTCAAAATCAATGTGCATTGCACTACGCTACATCAATCCAGACAAGTGTCAGGATGCGTCCATTCCGCTCCATCAGCCAAAAGAATTTTGCCAATGATGTCCTGGGCAAATTGGTGTGATTTCATCCTCATATGCATGACATAATTTTGGAGCGCATTGCAGGTCACCCTTAGACATTCTAGATGAAAGAAGGTAGAATAGGGTGGCCACAAGTTCAGATTAATGGTGCCAAGTAACATGCAATTTGTGGCCAATAGCAAGATCTCATGATCTGGGAAATTCTGTAATGCATCAACCAGACAGGAAGCGACCCAAGCAACAATAACCCTGCCATTGTACCCTTTCGCCACAAGAAGGCCATCGCCATTTCTCTGCTTGATCTTAGATTGGGGCTCGCAACGGTATGGCATTAAAGCATCCGGAAGATCGTTTCCAAACTGCATCAGAGTATTTTTGGGGGCTCCCCGACATACCAGTATAGTCATGTTGGGTGCTTCAATTGCAAGTGCAAACATTGACCCAAGTCAAGGCACATGTTTCACAAGGAAGGGCGGTTGGCTGTGCTGAATTTTGTGATGTTTGCAATACCGGATAAAGTGCGCGTAGGCGCTGTCCAGCTTTTCACCAAAATCGTTCCCTTCAAAAAAGTTCAGCTCTTCAATCAACAGAAGCCTTGCAAGGTGAAAGAAATTGAAAGAACAATAGACCGGTCCGCTCCAGTCGATGCAATGAACCATGGTGCTGAATTGGTGGCACTAGCTTTGAGCGCATGGAGCCCCAGGGCAGGTCGCTTGCAGACAGGGCACAGTGAACCTCCATTGGCCGCAAACACCAGGCCTAAATTTAATAGGTGTAGTGTGCACCAATGTATCATTGATACATCAAACCCATGCAAAAGGATGAGTGGTCCTCGGATACTGCAATGGACGGTGGTTTGCCAAGACATTGCGCAAAAACAATAGATATCCAGCGTTCAACCTTTTTGTCTTTCACACCTACTGGGATTTCCGGAGGATATGGCATGCTTGTTTTACGTTTTGTGAAACATAACAATTAATTAATATATAGACCATGACATGAATTCATACAAGTTGCAAAGATTCTGGTCCCTCAGCCTAAGGGAAATAAACTGGTCGTTGTTGAACATGTTGTCAATCCAAGTGCAGGGCACAGGTTCTCTAGCAGATCCAGAATGGGCGAACAGGTTACCCAGATCACCCGTTGAGGATGCAGGGCATTGGAAACAAACGCTGGCACTGTTCCATCCACAATTCCAACGGAATAGGTCCCTGAACCACTCCCAGTCACCCCTCAGCTGGCACAACATGAATCGGTGACCAGCTCGTGTGAGACGTTCTCCTGTTTTGGCATCAAGTCCATGGAACATGCTGTTGAAGCTCCGTACTAGATGTCGAAGCACCGCACTGATTGTGCGGTTCTTGTATAATTTTGCATGGTCGATGGTAAACAGAGCAAAGCGAGACCACCGCACGCTACGCGGACGGAAGTGCAAGACATTGACAGTAATGCACAGTATTTTTTCCTTTTTGTAACGGGTCCATAGTTGAGCAGCATCCCCGTGTAGTCCCAAAGGTATAATGCGATCGTCGTCGGCTGCGGCTGCCCAACCAGCCCGGACAGACTTTGCGTGCTGCCAAAATGTCTTGATTTGGTCCCCATCAACTTCGATTTTGACAGTGTCAAACAAGTACCGCATAATGGCATGGGGCATGACGATTGGGAAGCATTCCAAAGAAAGTCCTCCTGGTACTTTAGGATCAGACACTGGCAGTTGTATCGCGTCAACTTCCTGAGCCAATGTAAGTTTGGGGAACACTTGGAATTGGACAAAAAGGTGAGATTGAGAGTCGCTCTATGTGTAGTAAGATGCTTACAAGCTTCTACTGGAATATCACAGTGTCTCCAAAAAGCCCGAACGTCAGCCTTCTTAGCACCTTGGGCCAGCTTCACCACAGCAGTCTTAGCTGCTGCACCAGCTTCCTGAGCAAAAACTAGGGTGACCCATTAGACAAGGTTTCCACCATTTCTGGACCCGCTTGCTGGCAAAGGTGCATGGGCGTGGGATCGGATGTGCTTCATGACGCGCGTCACGGAGGCCGCCTGAGAGTATGCGGGACGGGGGTGGTTATGGGAACTATTGGAAGCAGCTTAAGCAGTTAAGTTCAACAGATATGTTGATCGATGTTTTCTTCATTGGGATGAGTAGCCCCTGAGCTCACATCCTCATACGCATCTTCCAAGACTTTGCTGCGATCATCATCTGCGTTGGGTGGTGGTGGGTTATCCGTGTATCACGTACATGTGTGGCATGCCATGGTGTATCGAAGCTTTGGACATTGAACTCTCCTTTTCACTCGATCGAGACGCTGCGAAGTGTGGACGACCCTAATTAGCTAACACTTCTTCAATTGGCCACGTGATTCCACGCAACCATTCAATTGATCCCCAAGGGAGAAAGTGCGCCACACCACAAGCACTGGGGTGGTTGATGCATTAAAGATATGATTGGTAGTCGTCATATCGTAGAATGAAGAGAACAGCGC